TGATAATATATTAAGTAATCCAAAGTATTCAGAATACGTTACTCTCATTGAGTAACATAACGGAATACATTAAAAAATACATTTTGGGTAATGTAATCTGTAATCTGTAGTGGAATACATTATAAAAGTAACCTTCCCAACACTGGTTGTACGACACCAACTGTCTGTAAGTTGGGAAGCTTTGAGATCCCTTCCCAAAGGGGGCTCCCATATTCCTGTACTCCCATAGGACTTAAAATCTGGGACTTTCCACCAGTTGGTCTTAGAACTGAAGAAGCTTCTCAGATGAGAGGTGAAACATCTTCAAGGAAACTTAAAGAAGTCCAAATGCTTTTCTTTCCAAGCTCCTTAGACTATGATGGCCTGGATGACTGAGAACATTCACAGACACATTCACTGAATTCCACATTTATATTTTTATACTGCCTATGGGCTGGAAATCAGTCGTGATAGTTTATGTAACATCTGCTTATCTTTTGTTGAATTCAGATGGCTAAATCCAATAAGAGCAGTAGTACAGTTTAAGCTAACCACAACCTAAATCTGCTCAAATATCAGGGTTCCCACACCTGCTGAATCCCACTTTAACACATGAATATATTGACCTTCATGTTTAAGTATGGAGACAAAGCAAAGCAGATGTTCAACATCCATTAGAATTAGAATTAAACTTGAAATAAAATTGATTTCTCCTGTGATTAATACTGTTTTGTTATGTATTAGTATGACATGAGGTTCTGGATCTGTAAACTTGAATTACATAAACAAAAATGATTTCATAACCAAGAAGTGAAAGAAAAGATATTGTATGAGAGTATTGTAATCTATATTAATGTATCTATGATAAAATATTGGTTTTGCAGTATGGTATATATTATGGTAATATTATTAGTAATACCTGAGTCATACCAGAGCTTTGTGGTAGAGTATAAAAGTGTACATGTTTTGATTCACCTCTGACCTTTCCATCCTCATCTAGGATCATGAGGTCTGGGTAATGAGATTTCAGAGACAATCAGCCAAAGGAGGTTTCTCCTTAGAAAGAGTAGAGCCGCTGATCTTCTGTTTTCAGGGAATGCCCAAGTCTGGGCAGGAAAAGTTGTGTATTTTTCCAGCTTGGGAAGACTTTGGGACCTGCTAGGAGGAGGTGGATAATGCTGCTAGACTAAATGTATCCCTCACATATCCTGTTGCCACATTGACCAAACATTTTCCTCTGCTGTAGATAAACATGATATACAGTGCTGTGAAAAAGTATTTGCTCCTTTTATGGATTCTTTTCTGTTGTATATTTCTTACACTTATATTTCAGATCAACAAACACATTTTAGTATCAGAAAAAAGATAACCTGAATAAATGAATTTTATTTATTACAAACCAGGTCCTGTGTGGAAACTTAATTGCAGTTTCTCCTGCGCTGGCTGGCAGCGTTATTATATTTAGGGCAAGATTTTTAATATTGTTTTTCTCCTTCAACCATGTTATGAGCATTGAAGTTGCAGACTGTGTCCACAAGAGGACACTCTGCGGCTGTCCTGTTGGTAACACATGAACCAGCTGATCTGAGCAGGGTGAAGTGTAAAACAAGTAAATAAATAACTACAAATAAATGTTAGGGTAATCGGGTCATGTTTTATACATCTGAAAGAAAAGAGTACAGGAAATTCACTGGAATGTCAGAGATTTAAAATCTCCA